AGGTCCCAGGAGGGAGGTGGAATTCACCTGAGGGGGCGGGGCCTGGGAGGGGCGGGGCGGGGGCGAGGCGGACCCCGCGGGCTCAGTGTCCTTCCCCGCGCAGGGCTTCCTGAGTCGGAACACGCGCGGCCGCGGTTACTGGCTGGGCCTGAGGGCCGTGCGCCGCGCGCGCCAGATCCAGGGCTACCAGTGGGTAGACGGAGTCCCGCTCAGCTTCAGGTGAGGGAAGGGACTTGGGGAGAGGGACGGGTCAGACCCCAGGGGCAGTGCTGTGGCCAGACCTGTGGGGATGGGCAGGCTGGACCCCAGGACCTGGCGGAGGGTTTAAATTCCGGGAGTTTAGAAAGCTGTCTCCCAGGTGCACGCTCAAGTTAGACCCTCGGAGTGTCTAGGTTGGACCCAAGCAATAAACAGGATAGATCCTCAGGGCTGGACGCCAGGCCCGTCCTCAGACTCCCAGAAACAGCCCCCCGACAAACCTCCGCAGCCACTGGAACCTGGGGGAGCCCAATGACTCTATGGGGCGCGAGGACTGCGTGATGATGCTACGCACTGGGATGTGGAACGATGCACCGTGCGACAACGAGAGGGACAACTGGATTTGTGAGAAGAGGCGCAGCTGTTGACCCCGCCCCGCGCCCCGCCCACCGCCCGGCGGGCGGTCCCCTGAGCGGTTCACCTTCCCGGCGCCGCCCACCGCCATCGATTTCTTCATTTTCCCTCATCCACGGCTACCGAGAGCCATCCCGCCCAGTCCTGTCAGGTACAGGCCCTGGGACCTCTGCTCCAGCCTCACCGCCGGCCCTCAGCTGGTCATAACCGAGCCTCCACCCGACCCAAACCGCGGGCGGCCCACTGTCCCCACCTCCCTCCCCGGCCAAAACCGGGCAACTTGGGACGAGCTGTTTGGTGTTCTTGCATTTTTCCCCCCAGACTGGGAAGCCTTACAGACAGGGGTTTTGTGAGCTGTCTTCACAGCCCTTAGGAAGCATCAATAAATGCTTGAGAAATGAATCTTGGTTCATGGCTTTGGTGAGCTGTTCAACGTTTAATCTCAGAGACCCTGATATTTATCCCTGTGAGTGACCCTGACCTCTGTCAGTGACCTCCCGGTCCTATGGTGCCCCAAAACTCAGGGCGTAACGTGTACTGGGCCAGGACGGCTGTAGGGCACCGGGGACACTGGAATGACTCAGACCGAGCGCTCTGATCTAGGGCACTGGAACAATGCTATGATCAGTGACTCCAAGGAGTGGACAAGGCCCTGAGGCAGGTGGGAGAGGGGCTGCCCGGGCCTGAAGAGCAAGTCCTTTCTGGCTTGGGCACCTAGGTTTGGTGACCACTGTCTGGAGCGATCAGGAAATACATTGCAGAGAACATGGCCTTTCGAGCAACAACGGGAGGACCTGGGAAGGAAGGTCTTTGCAAGCAGGGGGTGTTAAGTATGGCTGAACCCATTCTGGGGGGTGCAGGGTGCACCGAGCCTGGCTTTCGCAGCTGGGGACTTTTGATCTGAATTCACCCTGCACTCCCAAAGTTTCCTGCTCCTGTCCTGGAGACATGGGGGCTCTCCCAGAATTTCCAGTGGAGATAGGTCCAACTGAGGGGAAGGACAGGCTAGTGGCCTTTAGTCCCGGGCAGCTTGGGAGCTCCCAGACCCCCTGGCCAGGGGAGACCTCGCTGAGAACCCCGACACTTCTCTGGGTGCTCTCCTCTACTGGGTGCTCTGCTCGCCCAGAGCGAGGCACTAACCAGGCTCAGGAGCCACCTCTGTCCCCAACAGATAACCTACCTAGGGGACTGCTGGCCAGACTGATGAATTTCCAGGCAGTCAGCTTGGAGGGATATGAGTGTTGTGGCGCTGCTGTAACTAATGACCGCCAGCTTGATGGCTTACTAACAACACCCATCCTCTTCCGGTTCTGGAAATCTGAAGTCCAAAGTTAGTTTTCCTGGACCAAGATCAAGGTGTCACCAGAGCCAGGCTCCCTCTGGAAACTCCAGGGGAGAATCAGCCTCCTTGCCTTTTCTAGTGTCTAGACCTGCACCCCTCACACTCCCTGGCTCCTGGCCCCTTCTTCTGTTTCCAAAATCGGTGGGGTAGTATCTTGCTTCACTGACCACAGTGCCGTCCAAGTCAAATCTCCCTCTGCCTCCCTTCTTACAAAACAGCTTGTGATTGCTGTTTAGGGCCCACCCAGATAATCCAGGAGGATCCCCTGGGATATTGTAAAACAGTTGTAAAACTAATCACCCTGACTTAGCTCAGATGCCACCCACAGGTGAAAGGTACAGTTCCTTTTTCTTTCTAAACATTTATTTATTTATTTTTGAGAGAGAGAGAGAGAGAGAGAGAGAATCCCAAGCAGGTAAACACCGTCAGTGCAGAGCCCGACGCGGGGCTTGAACTCACAAAACCGTGAGATCGTGACCTGAGCTGAAATCAAGAGTCGGACGCTCAACCAACTGAGCCACCCAGGCGCCCCCCCCACCCCCGTCTTTTAAAAATTTTATTTAAGTGATCTCTACACCCAACATGGGGCTCGAACTCATGACCCCGCGATCAAGAGTCGTATGCTCTTCTGACTGAACCAGCAAAGCTGCCCTCACTGCAGACACCAGCTGCAAGTTTGGGGTTGCCTAGGCCACCTGCTCTTTGAACTGATTCTGACCGACTGGTAGAAATTCAGAGGATCTCACAATCCCCCCTCTCCCCGGTTCCATAATTCGCTAGAATGACTCATAGAACTCAGGAGAGTTTGCTACAGTTCTTACAGTTTTATTATAAAGGACACATCCAGACTGGCCCAATGAAGAGACCCGTGTGGCGACGGCCAGGAGGGTCCCAAACACAGAGCTTTTGTGTTCAGTCCCCAGGGACTCAGGTCATGTCACTTTCCCGGCACAGTGATGTTTCCACCAACCAGGAGGCTCCTCTGAGAGTTGGTGTCCAGAATTTTTATTGGGACTTCATTTTGAAGGCGTGGTTGATGGAATCACAGGCCACACGATCCCGTCTCTGGAGCTCAGGCGGTCACAGCTGGTCTCTCTGGCATGACCAGCCCCCGCCCTGAGCTATCCCCTCCGTATAACTCAGGTGTGGCCCAAGGGGCCCCCACAAATGACAAAGACACTCCTATCACTCGAGAAATCCCAAGGGTGCAGATGATCCCTTCCAGGAACAAGGGACAAAGACCCGCCAAATTCTGAAATATCTACATCTTCCCACCTCTAAATTCTTAGTCACATTTGCAAAATCTCTGTTGCCATGTAAGATGACGGTCAAGGTTCCAGGGATCATGACGTGGATATCTTTAGGGACCACTGTGCAGCCTCGCACCAGACGTGACCAGCTGACAAACAGACTCGCAGGTAGGGCAGCAGCCAGAACACCTGCCTGGTGGCCCAAGTGCTTGGTGAGTGGGGTCAGTGATGGTCTGGAGGACAGATACCCCGCAGCACAGACGGGCAAAGAGGCCCAGGTGTCTCTCCCGGGAATGGAGCTGAATGGGCACCGTGGTTGCAGAAGGGGGTGGCCCCAGAGTTAAGCAGGAGCTGCCCTGGGATCTTTTATTTATTTTTTTAATGTTTGTTTATTTTTGACAGAGAGAGAGAAAGTGGCAGGGAGAGAGAGAGGGAGACACAGAATCTGAAGCAGGCTCCCGGCTCTGAGCTGTCAGCCCAGTTCAAGCTGACACGGGGCTTGAACACACAAACTTCGAGATCGTGACCTGAGCCAAAGTTGGATGCTCAACCGCCTGAGCCACCCAGGCGCCCCTGCCCTGGAATCTTTTAGAGACCCGGCTCCGGCTAGAGCAAGCCCCTCACTCAGACATTGGGGTCTGGGGCCTGAGGGCGCCCTGGGTAGGAGCCCAGACAAGGTAACTGGCCTAGAGCCCCCCCTCATGCCCTCTGCCATCTGCCCTGCCCCCTCCCGGTCAGCTCGCAGGCACTGCCTCCCCGCTGCTTGGCTCAAACCTGTCAGCATCCAGTTGGCACACGAAGACCCTGCATGAAAGGGTCAGGGTCAAGTTCCCCAACTTTGGCTTCTTGGTCCCAGGCCCTCCCTCCTCCAAGATTCGACCTCCCTGGGAAGCAAGGCGTCCCTGGAGCCTAACCTAATCCCAGAACAGACCTCGGCCTTTGGTTGGCTTTTGTTTTCCTGGAGAATCAGTCTTGCCGGAAAGACTAAATTCTAAAGCTGATACAGGCGGGGACCTGAATACTGAGAAGCCCTGTGATGTCTCCCCCGCCGAGAGGCTGGCTGGGCCAGGCCAGCAGTCTTAATGATGGACCTCCTTTCCTGGAGACCCCAGAGGCTCTGAGAGCCCCCGTAAGATCCGAAATACACCTGTAATGTGCCTGGGACATAACAGTAATTGCTCAGAACACCTGATAGGCCCGTAGCGGACAGAACAACAGTCCCCCAAAGATGTCCGTGTCCTAATGCCCTGAACCTATGAATATGCCGCCTTATATGGCCACAGGGACTAGGCACGTGTGATTGAATTAAGGGTTTTGCGGTGAGGACATCATCCCGGGTTGTCCAGGTGAGCCCACTGTAATCACAAGGGTCCTCGAAAGTGAAAGGAGGAGGCAGGAGAGCATCGGGGAGGGAGACGTGGCTACGAAATTTTTAATTTAATTTAATTTAATTTTTTTTTCAACGTTTATTTTTGGGACAGAGAGAGACAGAGCATGAACGGGGGAGGAGCAGAGAGAGAGGGAGACACAGAATCGGAAACAGGCTCCAGGCTCTGAGCCATCAGCCCAGAGCCCGACGCGGGGCTCGAACTCCCGGACCGCGAGATCGTGACCCGGCTGAAGTCGGACGCTTAACCGACTGCGCCACCCAGGCGCCCCTAATTTAATTTTTTAAATCCTTATTTTTTTTAATGTTTTTATTTATTTTTGAGACAGAGAGAGACAGAACGTGAGCAGGGGAGGGGCAGAGAGAGAGGGAGACACAGAATCTGAAGCGGGCTCCAGGCTCTGAGCTGACAGCACAGAGCCCGATGTGGGGCTCGAACTCCCAGACAGTGAGATTATGACCTGAGCCGAAGTCGGACGCTTAACGACTGAGCCACCCAGGCGCCCCCAATTTTTTTTTTTAATTTTAAAAATAACGTCTTAACCTCCCACCCACCCCCGAAAGGATAAAAAACCAATTTCCCCCCAGAGCCTCAAGACCAATGCCACTCTGCTGACACCTTGACTTCGGGCCAGTGAGACTGATGTCAGACATCTGCTTTCCAGAACCGTGAGATAATGAGTCTGTGTTGTTTTAAGCCACTAAGTTTGAGGTAATTTATCACCACAGCCACTGGGGACTAAATAGGAGTTTCCCTGAAGGTCACCCATAACTCAGCGGTAACCAGCCCTCTGGGATAATCCTGCAACATACCTTAACATGTCTGTGGGTGCCTATACCCCGCCATAGAAGCATCTTGACTTCACAGAAGCCACTGGAAACACCAGTAACAAACTTTGAACACCCATAACATGGCAGTCACCACTTGAGATCTAACCGTCACCTCCCGTCAGCTGACAATACACATATACCTCCTACTTTGACTAAGGTGGCCACATGTCTCTATTTGTCTCGCGTGGTCCTCGTTTGCACTTG